AAAAATTAACTTTTAAGCTCAGTTGTTTTTAAGCCAAAGTCAATAAGAAGTCTTTAAAGTTCTCAGAAACAACCGACATATGAGCAACTGCACTTTTATAACAAAGGGGCAAACACTGCTTATCATTTCATGTGATCAAAAGCTCCAGAACGGCTACTAAATGGATCTTGTGACGAGACTGTTTCCATTAATGAACTGATGTTTCTCAATAACCAGTATTTCATTCATACCTTGAGATGTCCATATTTATTTAATAATTAATTTAATAACATAATGTAGCTTTCGTAGATACTCAACACTGAGATATTATAATGTTTCTTATACTAGAGTATCATTACATATTGTGTATGTGTGTGTGTGTGTGTGTGTGTGTGTGTGTGTTAAACCACACCGTTCATCTTCTAACATGTCACTTCAGAAGGTGTTCAGTTAACTGGTTTGAGGTCTGGTGGACAAATCATATGATTCACATCATTTTCATACTCATCAAACCACTCAGTGAGCCTTGTGCCCTGTGGATGGGGTATTGTCAAATGTGCCTGCAGGGTATTATTATGCATGTCACAGAGCATGATAGACATGTTAATTGCTCAATTACATGGTGCTGTAGTACACCTGTGTATAAGCATCTGTGTTTTTTATGTGTCTCTATTAATTTATTCAGGTGCTTCCTCTGAGTGTACCTATAGTATATACAGTATTTGTACTGGTTTGGTACTTTGGAAGTTAAAGGGAACATACCAGTGATTTTTCATATTTTAGCCCACTTTTAAGTCGTGGCTTACCATTTTGCTGCTACTGTGTCCACGGTTACAGGCATCCATTGTTTTCCATTCATTTAAACCCATTTTGACAATGATTTGAAAAACTCTCCTTGCTTTGGTTGTGTCACAGTAAACATGAATTTTCTGGTCTAATTTAAATTTTGTCTGTTTTTGCAGAATTGACATTATTGTTGTGGGGGTCATTCATTTATTTGGCACCTGCTTTTGATCAAAGTGACTAAAAATTAAGTTGATTCAACCTCCAGTATAAACAAGAGCTAGATGACACTGGAAGTGTATCCCTCCCACACACACTGAACAGTATGCCACGGTATAAGTGTGAGGTAATGCATTTCATCAATTTATCAATCTCTATTTAAATAGTGCTTCCATGCAACAATAATGCAATGCTAAATAAATAAATAAAAATACAGAGGTCATTTTCACTGTGGTTTAGAACGTTTCAAGAATCTGGTTATTGATTTTAATAATAATAATGATGGAAAACATGCTGAGAATGAAAACATCTTTGCATAAACATGGGACTGAACTTGAGTCATTGAGAAGTAAAAGGAAACTGTGTCATCCATCCCACTGATCTCCACACTCTCACATTACACTATTTTGGCTTCAAACTCTGCTGCCTATTTCTGCTCGTGTCTCTCTCTTGTAATCCTTTTGTGCTGGCGCAAACATATCTTTCTCATTTTCCTCGCACAGAGCATGTTATTTGAATTTTTAAGACGTGATCGTTTCATGCAATTTCATCAGACCTGCCTGCGCTAAAGAAGTTGGAGATAAAATTAGCTCGGGCATATGGGCATCCAAGGTGACTAGTGATAGTCATGTGTGTTTGTTGGCCAATTAAATCTCTAGATATAGCTTTCTATTTCTGGATAAAGTGACGAACAGAGTTTAATACGTGTCTTTGAAATGCCTCCGTTTGCTTGTGTCGGTAATTAAAGAACATTTATTTATGGTATTGTGTTAGCAGTGGGAACTTTACCTTCTGTTTTCTGAGTTTGGTACCATTTTAATAAGTTTGAAAGCTCCAGCTTGTTCAAGGTGTTATAACGACTTCATTAGTTTGTCATCTATTTAGTGAAGCACAATAATGAACGTGTTGGAAGAGGATCTATTTTTAAACTTTTCTTTGACGGCCTTTAATGAGATATTGAACTTAACTTATCATACTGAAGTATGATAGAACAAAGTCTGAAAGAAGGCCTCTCTCGAAGATATCTTAACAAAAGAGAAGATATTTGAAAGACTGTCCTCCCACGAAAAAAGCAACAGCATTAGTTGTTTCAGCAAATGCCAAAAAACAACATTTGTTTACTAGTGACAAAGACCTCTTTCGGCTGTAGTAAATATGACTCACGCCCAAGCAAAGGAGGCTAAAGTGTGGCGTTGTTTTTCAAAGTCTGCAGAAAAGAGGTTGTTGGCATGGTGAAGGTCAACAAAATGTCGTTCTTTCACTTTGATCGCTGTTCACTTCCTGTTTCCTGCTGACAGCAGTGTTGGACAAGTCACTTGTGAAATGTCACTCACATATTAGTCATTTTAAAAGTATACTTTACAGCAAAAGGGATCCGATTTCTATTCTCAGCCCAGCTACATCAAAAATAAACTCTCCACATGTCACGTTTTCTCTATTAACGTGTGGAAATAGAAAGGAGGGCATTAAGATCACCACCCTACGTTTTGAGGGTGTTTAATGACCATCAACAGCTAGCTTAACGTCCCGGCCTCGTTGTCATTGAGGCAAAGAGGTACGCACACCTTCCAACTCTGAACAAAACCAACTTATTCCTAAATGTAGGCTCAACACAGGCTAAAGTTAGCAAGCCAGCTACAACAACTTTAGAGTTAGCCAGTCGTGTTTCTCATCTTTTTGTCCCAATCCCTGTGCCAAGCTAACAAGTCTAAACTACATTTATAACCCAGTGAACAATCAGAGCCCCAAAAAGTTGATTTATCAACTGTTACCTAAACTACTCAAGCAATCGCATTAGTCATCGTTGGTTTCTTTTAACCCCTAACCTTAAAGACATAGTTAGTTCAATCCAAACCGTGATCTTTTCCTAACTCTAGCCAAACTCTTTTATTTTTGTAGCAGTGATTTGTAACAGTTTTGAGGGCGACTGTCAAGGGATGAAGAACTGTTGCCAACAAATGTACCCAAAACATCAACATGAGGTTATTCTCATTACTGTTGTTGTCTTCTGGGGTGCTGCCTTTTTTTCCTGACTTTGTTTTTGGGAAATACAGATTATGGTGCTGATGGGGCATCAGAGCAGAAAACACTTAGTGAAGTATAATTTGGAGCTGTGAGTCCATAAAATGTGAGATTCTTTTTATCTGATAAGAGCCACACATTTCATCCAGCGCTTTATCCGGCTCATGAAAGTGTGCCGAAGGCTTAAAAACACGTTAATTTTATCTGACTACATGCTTGTCCGACTACATCTTGCAGTTTACAACAGCTCTGCGATACAGATTAGAGTATGAGATTTGTTAACCTTTCCCCGGTTCTGTGTTAATCTAGATTTGGGATATGCCCCAGTAACTTTCATTTTAAACTATAAATACCAGTATTATAATATGTATTCACGTGGTAATGAAAAGGTCCAACATTTGCATTTTGTGCAACCCAACAGCCGTAACACAAACCGTTACAGCTGCAGAAACACTTCACTGCTGCTGCAGGCTCTTTTGTGTGCCTTCTAGTTAATTACAGGCTAAGTCAGATGTATTGTTCATTTACTGTAGGCCAGTCGCTTGCACAGACTTATAGCCCTATCATTTCACCGTCGTAATTTGTGATTTATGACAGTTATTAAAAGTATTGACATGAGTAAAAGTGAAATATGATCTGACAGTGCTATCACGTGAGGCAGAACAAAGACGTGGTACTGTGCAGCCTGTGTTAAAATGATCGTGGTATTATGTATTTCATCTCTATTTCTTAATGATCAATCTATGTCTCAAATGATGATTGTTCTTGTGAAAACATAAAACAAGGTTTTAAAGAGGTTAATATTTATGGCTAATTTACAATAATAGACTATAATGAAAATTTGTAAATGTAATTTACTTTCTTCCAAAAAGGAGTAGCTAGTGCTTTATGTGTGATGAGCCTACTGTAGCACTGCCCTTAAACAACCTCGTGACACCTCATCTGATCTCATCTCTCTTTTAAGCCTGTAGGGACTGACTGTAATCATGTTTGCCTGTAACATTTAGTGCGAATGAAGGAGAGAAGCACAGGGTTTAGTTGGAGTTTCATTATGAGAAAAAAGTAAAGGAGAAGCGTCTGACTCATCTGGTGTGCTGAAATCTTCCCACACAGCTTCAGGACTGCACACGACAAGTTATTTCTATGAACTCATTTTCATTCAGATTTTAATAAAATGCACTTAGCTTTTTAATTTCTCTCCAAGTTGTATTTTTACACGTTCAAATGTATTTGAACAATACTTAATCATATTAGTAGTGTGATTCTGATGAGTGCCAAATAAGATTTTTGCTCATTAAATATTCTTGAAAGGGAGGATTGTGAAAAGATTAGGTTCAAATCTACCGCTGAAAATGTGCATAAAAACTGTGAGACTGTGTGGCTTCTACATGTGTTTGAGGGAGTCTTGTTGTCAAAGAGCATAAGTGCGGTGTCAAACTAAGGATAAATGTAAAGAGAAAGACCCTCCTGACATCAAACATTGAATGCTTAAAAGGTAGAAAACTAGACATTGTAAAGTACGGACACAGAGCCAGAGGAGCTCTTAACGTAAGAGGGGGACCCTCTCCAGCTTCCCACCCCCATCTGCATCTTCCTGCCTCCAATACCAAGTCAATTAACCTAATGGAATTGGTAATTAATTAACTCGGCAAACACAAAGATTAAGGACCTGACAATCAAGTGAGTGGGAGTGGTTTAAGCAATGCTGATTTAGAGGTAAGGACTTTCTGGCTTCCCTTTGATGCGGAAAATAGAAACAAATCTCACTCACAAAGACACACATGCACTCAGGATTTGGCAGGATTTATGTCAGAAAGCTGGAATGGGTCCCTTGAGTTCAAAAATATGACTTTTCGAAAACAGTCCGATGTGAGTCACACCGTGCTGAAGCTTCAACTTTTCAAAATGAAAACACTCCAGTGTACCTTTTTTTGTTACTCACAGCAAAGTCTGGAAGATAAAACACAGCCCGGTAATCACAGGACACGAGGCCTTACCGTGTTTCTTTGGCCGTTGGTTCCTATTGGTCCTCTGAACACCCCCTTGATGCTCCTCAGCTGTCCGTCACGCAGGTGGGTGGAACTGATCACAATGTAGTAGCACGCCATTGGATTTGACTGGGTTTGATAAACTTGAATATCTACGTATCTATCTGAAGAAAAAGTCTGGAGAAGAAGCCTCTTCTTCTTCTGCTTCCTCAACTCTCTCACACTCTCCTCATTTTGTCTCTCCTCCTCTGTTTTATAAAGTAGAGGAGGGATGGAAGAAATTTAACAAGAAAAGAGAAGGAGCCCCCCCCCCCAGACCCTCCCGCTGCTCAGATTTATTCTCTCTCCTCTCTAAGTTTTTGCCGGTTACTCTTTGACTCTGCTTTCTCTCTGCTCATCTTCCCCCAGCTTCTGTCTCTTTTTAAATATTTCACCCTCTGCGCCTCCTTCCTTTCCACTCTTGTCTTTCTCTAAATGTTTTTTTTTTATTCTTCTGTTTTTTTCCTAAATTCCCTCTAGATGCCTCTGTCTCTCTTTAAATATTTAAGTCTCCAGATGTTTTGCTCCCATCTTTCATTCATCAATCTTTCTTTGTCATTGACTCCCTCCCTCTCTCGCCCTCTCTTTCTTGCTGAGTCGAAATTTTCTTCCCGAAATCTCAGCCGCTCATTGATCAGCCTTGCAGTTCCTCTAACTATCTCCCGTCCGCTGCCTCCCTCTCTCTACACTTCACAATCTCACCAACCCCCTTTTGTTTTCCCTCCCGCTTTGTCTCTGTATCTCTCTAAGTGGAGGGGACGGATACTTTTTTTTCCATCCTCTCACTATCTCCCCATCTCCTGACTCTCTCTTTGTGTCTCTCTTTTTGCTCTCTGCCTCCTTGTTAGTGTGGAGAAGAAGTGCTCAGTCTTCTCCTCCCTCTGTCTGTCTCTCTGTCAGAACCGGCGTGCAGCTTCCTCTCAGATGCTCCTCTCCTCTCCTCTGCTGCGCTGCATGTGTTCGCTCTCCTCCCTCCCTCTATCTCCCTCTCTCTGCTGATCTCTTGCTCTGTGGCCAGCAGAGTGGTTTGCTCCTCAGTTACCCGCCGTTACCATCTGCCCTTTTAACGCATGGAGTGCTGACGCTTGCTCTCTCCTCCCTTCCTCCCTCCATCCCTCCCCCTCCCTCCATCTCTTTCTCTCTCTCTGCCTCTCCTCTTGCCGTCTTTCTTCTCTCTTTAATCATCTCCTTCTCTCCCTCTTTCTCTCGAGCCAAAGGAGACAAGCTCCACCTACTGGTAGGTAGGAAACATACAGAAAGGAAAGAGAGTGAAACAGCAGGAGGTTTTCTTTAATTCCACACTTATTGTCTGTGGAAAAACAGTATTTTATCAAGCTTTACACGGAAACACAATTGGATACAAACACTATGGAGCTATGGAGCTGGAAGTGATTTAGTGTCATGCCCAAGGGCACTTCAGCTACGTGGCACAGATGTGTCAGTTTAAATGCTGGTTCTCTTGCTGTCATGGGGTGTTTCACCGCAAAAATAAAACAGCTTGAACCAGCTTCAGACTGAACGTACAACTGAACTGAGGACAGAATCAGCACCATCACTGCGATATAAACGGTTAGGTTTAGGAAAAGATTGTGATTTGGGTTAAAGTAAGTAAGCACATTACTTTTACTCACATGACATAAGTCACCTATGAAACATTATTTAACGTAAAACTTTAAATAAATCAGCTTTGACTCTCCAACCTTGGTCTCTTAAGTGAAAGTCCTGGCTTTACTTGACCCATCCACCTCCTTATTAGGACTTTCTCACTCTTTACATACGTCGCCTGACTTCTTCCTCTCCTACCATTATAAAGCCACTAGAGCTTGCTGCCTAACAAAAAATGTAAATATGAATAATATTACTGTTTTGCTGGTGAGGACGGCCTGACGTGACCACATCCCTACGTGGACGTGGTCACTCTTTAAAACTATATCACCGTAGTTTTTTCCTCTTTGACATTCATGCGTAAAATGACACGCTGTCTCTGCATGAGTCAGTATAGTAATAGCACGCGAAATGACTTAAGACTCTGGCATGTTATTCATACGCTATTTAGTGATACCAGGCTAAAGCAACGCTTTAAAAGCAAATAACAGAACCTTACAATCAGTTCTCTATAGGAGGCCAAGCAGAGAGGAGACACAGCATCTCTGCTTGGTGCCACTAAGAAGCTGGAGAGACAGAGATGACTCACACACAGACTCACAAAAATCAAGATGGTTAGAAACAGAGGCATGTAAAATAGTCCCCAGATCCCTAAACGAGAGAAGATGTTTTTGGGTAAATGAAGTATTCCAGACAGCCTACTTTTCGGCTCAAAAGCTAAAATGGATCACTCTTTTAATCCACAGGGAATTACAGTTTAGTTGAGAGAATCTACAGTAATCTCTGATCCACAAGGCCTTTGAGATGAAGCTCTATCCTCGTGTCTTTGACGGGCACAGAGTTTTTCCACCTGGGTTTATGTATTTATTTCATTGTCCTTCAGTTAATCCTTTCAATTTGTAGGTAAACCCATGTTTCCATCCTCTCATAGGGAGGTACAATATAAATCCAGACTAGAAAGGGGAGGTTGGCCCTTCATTACATCCCTTTCAACTCTGTCCACATCAACATTCCTCATTCTCTTATCAAACCTGCCTCTGCGTGTAATCCTGCTGCTCTGGTCTCAGAGATAATGTTGATTCTAATGAGACCTCTGTTTTAAACAGAACACATTACAATCATAATTTATTTATTTCAGCGAAACTGGATTAAACTTTAATTGATAGCAAGTTTCGGTTGCCTCCGATTTAAAAGACTTACAGTGTATCTTAATGGTGTGTTTACAATCAGTAAGGACCTTTCATCTATTCCCAAAATCACCACGTGCTCTCTTTTCCCAAGACGCAAACTGGACTCCATTTTAGAGCAACCTACAAAAATTATGGATATTATTGTTTTCCTCACTAAAATGTAAGCCGACTGGGAAAACAAGCTCATGAAAAGCAATACAGATGAATAATGGATTTGTGCCTTGTTTAAATTAATTACAGAACCATGTGCTTCTTTTCAGTTTAATATAATCTTATTGACTACTCAAAATTCAGACTGAGGATGAAAACAAGCTGAACAAACCATGTTATTTGACAGACATTTTGACATTTTACTCAACATCAAGAAAAAGAAATAACTTCATCACACCTTAATGCCAAAAAAGGATGTTTGTTATTGCCTAGCAAAATGATTAAAATTTACCACCTCTAAGGTTAAAGTCCAATTAAGTTTAGGCAACTTCTTTGTCAAAAGAAACTCAAGTCAAGTCAAGTCAAGTCAGACGCTTGTCATAGGTTGTTTTAGGTACTTTTATTCTCCCTTTTGTAGAGACTGTCCTTCCAAGAAAAACAGCATGATAAATCGTTTCAGCTGGGGGGTTTTTACCTTTGTTCATTCAGGGAAACTTCACTGAGAGAAAGCCTCTCTTTTGTCTTTGTACAGTAACACATTCACACCTGGAAGCTGCCCAGTACAACCACAGTCTGATCTGCTGGCCAGTGAGCAGCTTCACTGGAGCAGTGCGGGTTAAGGGCCTTGCTCAAGGGCACCTCAGTAAATGAGGACATACCAAAACAGCAACCTCCTGGTCACAAGTTCATTTCTCTAACCTTACGGCCACCACTGTTGTGGAAAGCAAATGGCCCAAGACGACATATATCTACGTTGTGACAGAACGTCACAAAACTGAATGCCTGCAACAAATTTCATAAATCATTGACAAAAACATGTACTGCATAGTGCAGTAGACAATACAATAATAACAATACCCTGCTTTCTTTGTCAGGCTTTGAAAAGTACGTGAACTTAAACTGAACATACATTTCCATGTAATGTAGAACATTTCAGGGTTTGATCACACCTATTTATTGTATGACTGGGCATATTGTCCTCATATACTGTATATTACCTATTATCAATTACCCAAACCACAGCTAATGTGTGCCATAATGTGTCATCTGCTGTATATATAGAGTACATGTTTGCTCACACCCTCACATTTACCTGAAGAAGACCGTTTGTTACCCAGCCACATTTTTAATGTGCATCCCAGCTGGAACTTGTTAAGTGAAAGTGCACGTAATGACCTTTGGTAAGAACAACAACCTACAATGCAAAACTAATTTTGCAACTTTCTGTTAAAATACATCACAATTAACTTTAAGTTTATCATACCAGAGTATGTTTTTTGGTGTCTCAGCAGAAACTGCACACACATATTATTTATGAGTTCACAGAATACTGGTCCTCCATTTTTAAATCTTCGTCTGGAACATTTTCTTTATGTTGCTCATTTTCTTGTGTTCCAGTTAGTTTTCATTCAGCAAGAAACAAAACAAATCCTTTCTTGTTTCTCACTGAATGACTCTGAATTACTACAACATTTGCATCAGTGATTTTCCTCGACAGGAAATTGTCAAGACCCCACAGAGTCTCTCTCTGGTTTAGTGACCGAATATTGTTGTTGAGCTTTGAGAAAATAAAGCACACAGTAAGAGGCTTATCTGATAAATTTCCTTCTACTTTGGGTCCCATGATCCAATACTGCAATAAGCTTAAAACCCTCCCATCGGCTCCTCTAGATTAATTTTACACAAATACAAATCTAACTTTTTACTCCCTGTTCAGTTCTTCTTGTGGTCTATGCATTAGTTTATCCCGTATATATACTGTATCAGGTGTTTTTTATTTGTATAAATGTCTACATTTATATTTTTCCCTTGTATCCTATTAAATATTTTTATGTGTGTATTACATATATATATTTGTTTGTCTATTCAATGCAATAGCGAGATAATGGGGTTGCTGGTGGATTATAAATCCTGTTTGGGGGTTTGGGGAGATAAGGAGGAAATCATTAAAATATGTACTGTAATATTATTGTGTGTTAAATGAATGCGGGGTGGTTTATTTAATAGTATATCACACACCCATGGGACAAAATAATAGAAATAATGCTAATGTGGGGCTTTCAGTAGCTGCACATTTATGTGAAAGAAGACAAACAAAATAATTTGTTTCACTGCAGTTTCTTGGTAAGCAAATGTATTTTGGGAAGTGGGTGGATGATTTCAGAAGTGTCTTTAGTCACGTTTGAGGATTTGCATGGATGTCAAATTAAAGCAACAACCTACATAAAGTAATGTGTTGGTCCACCACAAGCCTCCAGAACAGCTTCAGTGCTCCTTGTCATAGATTGAGCAAGTCTCTGAAAGTCATGAACTGCAGTCAGTTTGATGTTTCGATGATGGTGATGATGGAGGGGGTTATCTCACAAGTATATCCAAAATCTCTCTTATGTGTTCAGTTGGGCTAAGATCTGGTGACTGTGAAGGCCATTGCATCCTTGACATCAATTTCGTACTTATCAAACCATTTAGCGAGTCCTCCTGCCGTGCATGTAAGCATCTGTGTTTGCTATGTTTCATAATTTTGATATTTTTAGAAAGAAAAAACACAAGTGTATAAATATGGAGTAATCTCACTCTGGATGGACGGATGGATTTATTCCCTCAACAGGAAGTTGACATAACCTAATCAAATAAAATGTTTATTTGATTGGGTTACACAACACTAACATTTACATCTAAAAATGACATAGTACAATACGATAATGTGAACTTTTATGAATGCAGATGGCATACAAGCAGCTATGCTTTTATGCATATGTGCACATAATGTAAAGAAATGCACAGAAAAAAAACAGACATCACAAATCACTTTATGTTAGTAAATATCATTTCTTGCACCATTTTGTCCAGTTTGTAACTGGATTTGGTTTTTGTGGGCATGTGAGTCTCCATTTTGTACATCTGCAGTTCATCAAATCTAATGAAAGCTAACAGGCCACATAACATTGTACTGCTTTAGGGGGAATTATTCAACGTCCTGCATGTAGCCTACCTCAATGTCTGTTAATATTCTCATATTGAGGCCTGCACAGACCGAGATGGTGGTTGGACCCCATGAGACCCTGCAGATGGGACAGCTTGTGCCATACTGTGGGCCGTCACATCCAGACGGTAAAATGTCACAAAAATGTCAGGGGAAACCCAGTTGGCTTCATAGCAGATACTCTTCAGTGATACACCATTGAGCAACACGAAAGAAAAGGCCAACCCCCCCTTACACTCAAGTGCTGCCACAGACTACATATTGGCCTTGGTGCCATTAGTCAGACACTGGCTCAATATTTTATTTGCCTGTTTTTCAATTTAAGACTATAACAAGCAGAGTTGTGTATTTATTGGACAGTGGTGTACACATATCGGGGAAAAAACAAAGCCGTAGGCCCCAAATATATGGTTATTAACAGTGACAGAGGCCTGCTCTTTCCGATCTGTCCGCAGCTTTAAATGCGTCTTAAATAATCTATGACCTTTATAGGACTACAAGGAATTGCAACCAATTTGGCAGAACTTATCTCCTCCTCCAAGTCTCTGGCACAGTACCAACCTCCACCCCTCTGCTTCGTCTGAGCGATGGCAGCCTGCAACTGACACAAACCACAAAGCTGCATTTTCAAATAGGGGACAAATAAGCGCTCTAATGAGAGCAAAGATCCAGGTTAAATATCTCTATTGAAGAGGTAATACATCAGGGTGTAAAATATTGGAATAATAGTAATGCACAGCGTCAGTTGTCGCTTGTTTAGCAGTTAACAAGACTGTAACTGTGTACCAAATACATAGTTAATCAAAGCAGTATACTACATTTTTACTGTGCCCGCTGTGGTTTAGGGGATAGAGCGGGTTGCCTGTCAATTCCTGGTTCCTCCAGGCTGCATGTCAAAGTGTCATTGGGCAAGATACTGAACCCCGAGTTGCCCCTGGTGGCTGTTCCACCAGCATATGAATGTGTGTGAATGTTAGTTTCTGTTTGAGCACTTCGGCTCAGTGAATGAATAGTGAATGTGATGTAGTATAAAAGCACTTTGAGTGGTTGCAAAGACTAGATAGGCGCTATACAAATACGGCGGCATTTGCATAATCACCATTGTTTACCGTTTAAGCAGTTACTATTCCTATACAGTACTATGTGTGATGTCATGTCAATCAAAGTAGAACTTTGCATTTTGTGCTTAGGGGCAGTAAATCTCAGGCTTAATTTAAGTCCCTGGAATATTGCAGACTGCAGTATTTAACCCAGTGTTTTCTATTCTATTCTTTTCTGAGTAATGCATATAGTTAAGTGTGCTGAACATCTCTCCCTCTATGGATTGGACTATTAATCCGACAGTATGGACATTAATCACTAACAATAAGCATCAGTAAATGTTCTCAGCTGAGTGAACAACAAACACATCTACAGACTGTATTTAAACTGTGAAGATTGGGATATGATACCTTTTGCGTGCTGTGAGTTTGCAGGACCAGGAACTCATCCCAGCGGTGTTTGTTGATTAGCATGTGAGCCAACTGGATTCTGCCTCATTATCTAACAAGCTAATTACAAGCTAATTATTTCAAGGGAGCGAGGTTAGTGCATCAACTTTGCAAAGTTGTTAAATTGATAGAGACAATGCAGCAGTGAGGGTAATCATTATAACTGATGGTGTATCTGTGTAGTAAAAAAAAAAAGAAAGAAATCAAGTTGTACCTCAGGAAAAACTGGTACCTCTCTTTAATTAGAAAACAATCTATACTACAAAGAAAATAAGTGCCTCCAAAACAAATCTAATAGGAAATTAGTTTCTTAACAAAGCTTTTACTACTGTGGAATGAAAGGCAATCACTTACTACCTGGACTTTTAGGGTTAAAAATGACACACTCAACACATGCATACATACTGGGCGAGTGCATGAACATACCTACATGTACGGCACACATATCAAGACGCTGTTCATCACACGTATGTAAATTCCACACTGGATGGATGTAAACAAATGAACTATCTGCATGAAAACTGAGCAGCTTCACCCACTGAGGAAGGCCATGAGATGTGGTTGAAAGCTTTAAAAATAAGTAAGTTTGACCTTATGTTTAACACATTATCACATTATTGTATTTTTTACAAAAGCATAAAACAATGTTTAATTGCTTTACATAAATATAAATATCCTCCTCCTGCTTTTTTCCGAGATTTTCCATTGACATTTTTATTGTCTTGATAATGTTCACGAAAACAGAAAAACAGCTGGACAATTTTCAAAATAAAATATTTATCACAGGTAAAAAGAAAAGCCAACTTAAAGCCCTAAAGCTTCTGGCAAACACTGAATTGTAGGTGTTGAAGTCAAGCTGAAGACAACATTTGTGGTTCCTTAAAGCAGCACCTAATCAAAACACTTTTATCAGCAATGGATCAAAAGACGATGAAAGGTGTAATGTGAAGAGCCGCTGTGACTAACCCCCAGACTTATCGCCAAATCTGCAGTTCCCCTCAGCTCTACAGAGTGTATAAGCGTTTAAGCGCAGCAGGCAGCTGTAGCCTACTATAAAAGCCCACTGTACTCTCCCTGCTCAGCACTAAACAGCAGAGAAACACAGTTAGAGACTAGCTGGGGAACATGAAGTGGAGTTTACCAGCTAAAGAGACAGATATAACCCCTTATAAGTAAGTGAAGACCAAAAGCAGAGCTAACAGAAGAGTCAGTATTGAACTCTATATTTGCTGGATGTGTAAATTAGTGTTGTAGTCCTCGAGAACATTCTTCAGACCACTCGACCGCATTTTTAATCGGTCTTGTCTCGGACATTGAGGACTCGGGATTTTACTTCAAGTACATAACTTTGGGAATATCAATAAATTGCTTTTGCATTGTCTGATTTATTTGTTAACATCCTAACTTCATTGGATGTAAAACATATTGCTTCAAATGCAACCAATTACCTTAATTAAAAATGTGTTGTTCCCGTCAACGACTGTTTCCCTTCCCTGCGATGCTTGCGTTGATTTCAGCTCTTAGTGTTTGTATGTGGGTGTTTAAATGAGAACGTGGATCTTTCAGATCAGTTTGAGAATTACCTATGATCTCGTTCCACATTTTATTGTGTGTCATGTAATGTGGGGAACTGGTCTTGGTCTTGACTTGGTCTCAGCCCCTAAAAGTCTCGGTCTTGTCTCGGTCTCTATAAACTCTTTTCTTGGTCTTGACTTGGTCTCAGTTTGAGCGGTCTTGACTACAACACTAGTGTAAATACTGTTTTCTAACAAGTTCACCATACTAATGTAGTGTACGATATATGTGTATTTGACTCATAACAGTTTAAAACAGCACTGTAGCAGCAGGACAGAGGGTCAGTGACCTCCTAAGGGGAGAACAGTGATTGGTGGTTATGTAGGGACTGAACCCTTCTATAGAATTTGACCTCTAACCCACACTAACTTCCGAGGTGACGAGATGTCAGCGTTGTATTTACAGCTTGTTTCCGCTGCTCCCAAGTGGACAAGAAAATGATGAAATTATAAATGGATACAGCTTTAAGGTTTGTAGCTCCGTAGTTGCTGGTAGAAGCCGGGGTTGGGGCGAACTGAGGGCCTCGCCAGCTTCACCTGGCTGTACGCGTCGTCAAACGACAGCCCCTCCCTCAACATTAGGTAGCCAATCACGATGGAGGACGAACGCGATACGCCAGCGTTACAGTGGACCAGAACCACACCGTCCTATGGGAAGAGAAAGTGAGGGTAAAAATATAATTGGTCAACGTGGGAAATCCTGGTCTTTAATTACATCAAGTGGTAAAGTCACAAAAAAGAACATGAACTGTCTGCCCAGCATATAATTATGTTCCCCATCCAGTGTTGCAATGCAAGGATATAGTAAGTTCAATTAACCAGTTTGGAATTAACGTGGCAATCAAGTAAACTATAAGCTCACCAGCAAATGTACAGGTTTAGCCATTTAGCACACTGGCGTTGGATTGAAAAGGTGAGCTCACCCTGGTAACAACATATTTTTCTGCTTATCCCCAGTTGTACAGCTTTATCTGCTGAGGTTTTGAGATCTCCATCTCTGTGATCCCAACACAATGGAGGTACATGGAATGTCATTTTGCTGTGCTCAAAACACTGAAAAAAAAAAATCCATCAACAAACAAACACAAATCGAACATTCACCTCTATTTGTAGTGGGATTGTGGCGACGCTGCAGAGGCTGATTTATCAAAACATCAGCACATGATGGCCAGATATCAGTAATGTTAAGCAAGTAAATATGTTTTAGGGTTTTCTTGTCATTTAAAATTTGTAAATATCTTTTAATAATTGAGTGTAACGTACACCATGTTGTCAGGACATCAGATAAATGAGAAAAATCCCACCTTGAAGAGTCATTTCACTGCATTTTTTTCCTCATAAAACCCTTTAATTTCTGACTTTCCAACATCTCTGAAAGCAGCATTAGACAGAGCATGTAGAGCAAGTGGAGACAGAATAAATCTGTGTGTGTCAAAATTTGCAATACGATTAATATTAATGTTGATGTAATTATTTTACTGCCTAGAGTGCCAGGCTGGAAATGAATTTTTCAAATTCCAGCCACATCTTTAGACAATGCGTGCAGGCCCACGGCTCAGCTCTGAAGCTCAGCTTATTGACACATTTGTTCCTTTTTTATTCAACATGGAGCCTCCCATCACGGAATAAAGTCTCTTTTCTGGCTGCAATGGAGCGGAAACAGAAACTGTAAGCACAATTTTTATTTTACATGTCAATCAATACCCATTGAGGGACAGGAGATTTAAATTAGCTTTGGCTTCACACACGCACAATGAGTTGCTATAACTGACATGTTATCTGTGCTTTCATTGCAACATATAACCAAATCAGGTAGTTCCTCTGGGTAAAATACAATCAAATGAAGCACATACAGACCGTACAGAGAGGCTATACCAATGATATCAGTCTTTAATAAGTTTCTATCAATCAAAAATGTTTCTGCTCCTTTATAATAGTTCTGCTGGTGCCTGCAGTCACTGCACTTACATATCAGGTCTTGTTTCCGATCCTATAGGAAAGAAAAGCGACAGAAAACTTCTACAGACTGAAAATTGCCTGAGCAAGATAATCCATCTAAGCAAACATGGAGACTTAATTTGGTTTTGTCAGAGTTTCTTGTTTTTCTGTTATTTCATTGCGCTCGAGTTTAGTGTTTTCATATCAGTGCTTCACATCACGTTATGTTCTGCTTACGGTCAATTTCCTGACACACACACACGCACAGAGAAAGAAATGCAGGCCTCTGCCGGGAAATGGTCTCTTAAAAAGTATTACATACAGCACATGAAATGACTGAGGGAAGTTTGAGCAGAGAATATTTTGACTTTCTAAAATAAATGATGGCAGCGTGGTCTTTTAATAGGTGTTCTGGCCATCCACCTCGCCTTTGTGCTGCCTTACAGATAACTGACTGCTGTAGATGTGTGTAAACGCATCACTGTGAGGTAGCAGAATAGGTGTGTGTGCACACTGACATGTTAAATTATCCAGCAGATATAAAAGACTGCTTTTTTTTTAGGCTACATGAGCCTCCTGAGAGAAAGTAGATACAGAAATGTTCAAATGGATTTGATGCATTTTTTATCTGGTAAAACCCTGAAACTCCTGTCCCGTGTGTACTGTTTGTGTCTGCATCTGCCAGAAGTGATAGATGACTGAAGTACATTTACTGCTGGAGAATTTTAAGGTACTTTACACACTTACTTTATACTTCTACTCCACTAGATGAGGGCTGTACTTTACTAGATACTTGGCAAATTCAGATTCTAAAAACCTCTAATGGGGATATCAAATATTATACATTGATGTACAAGTTCAAATCAGCTTCAGCTCAACTAACGAAAACATTAAAATGCTGCTTTTAATGAGAATCAAAATGTGTTTGTTTGAGCGATATAGCCAAAAATGTTATCATGATTAAAAAAATTCATATCATTCCATATTAATAGTTATCACAATAAATGTCAAATCAATATTTCTTTCTGTTTTGCTCCTGAGTGAAAGTTGAAGAAACCAGATGGTTAATTGTGGTTTTAAATTATTCTTTATGGTCAGAATGTGACAAACACTTGATGCCAAACAGTGGATCAATAAACAAATCTGAAGTAACATTCAAAACAATTTTCGATAAAATCTTTTTTCAACAAACATGCATGAGTAAAATTAAGTTAAATCTTTTTTAGTCCCTTTTCCTCAATCTCTCCCTAGAAAAATTAAGAGCCAATTTGTTTGTGATGCAAATGAGTGATTCATTTATTGAATATTTATTGATTTATGTTCTTATCGGGGAAAATTATATTGCGAGAATTATCATTATTGTTTTCTGTACTCTGACTTAATGAAATGCTTACTTGCTTTCTTGCCGTAGTTAGAAGATCGATACCACACCCATTGACGCTAAGGTAAATGTGAAGCTACCACCAGCAGCTAGCTAACTTAGCTTAGCACAAAGACTGGAAACGGGGGGAAACAGCTAGCCTGCCTCTGCCTTAAAGTGACACAATCTGGTGCCTATGTGCAGCTGTAAAGCTCACTAAATAATATGCTGTACGTTGTTTTTTTAATCTGTTTAAAAAATGTCTTGCCCAGAGCCAGTTGCCAGGCAGGAGAGTGCAGTAAAAAAATATACTTGCCTGCTGATGGCAGTAGCTTCAAACCCATCGTACAGCTAACTCTAACTCTCAGCTAAAAAGCGAATAAGACTATTTCCCAAAATGTCTTTCAAAAATAAGTCTGAAGTTATATATGTATGTATATATATATGTATATATATATTAGTATTAGTATTGTATTGTATTGTATTATAGTATTGCTATTTACTTAACTTTACTTTGCCTCTGTCATCTGTCAGTGTGTACAAGTAGATGATTACATGCTAATTGTGTGTGTGTGTGTGTGTGTGTGTGTGTGTTCGTGTGTGTGTGTGTGTGTGTTCGCGTGTGTGTGTGTGTGTTCGTGTATACCTGTTCTCGTGCTTGATCTATGAAGGAACTGCACTCCCCAATATATGAAGTGATGTCAGTGTCTGGGAGGTCCAGGATCTGGAGCGTCTTATAAAGAAACCGATCTGGGAACAGGTTAGTGACTCCATAGGCCACATTTAGGACATGAGACACCTGACAAGGAGAAAGATACATGAAAGTCCTTGAGCAAATGACCCCTGAGCATTGACTTGTGTTTAACGCTGGTTTCGGGAGAGAAAGAGAGATATCCTGTCAGACGTATTGATGACATGACGCCACCTGAATGTGACTGAGTGAAAGGGCAGAAAGAGAGCGAGGAAGAGGGTTGACAAAGAGGGGGAAGGAAGATGAAGAGGAAAGAGCGCGAGAGAGAGAGAGAGAGACAAAGAGTGGGGGAGACGGGAAAGAAGACAAATGGCTCCAATTCATTTTGAAGTATCTGTCTACTCTCACTTAAATTTAGCTTACCTTAGAGGGCTAGGTTCTCCCCTGCTCTACATCTGAGCAGCGCGCTGATGTGTCCTGCTTTTGTACTGCTTGTAACATCTAACATTTTCCACAAGCTAAAAGACAAGTCTGGTGATATTCTACATATTTCTAATCGTCAACAAATCCCATGAAAGAAACAAAACCAGCAGTGAATTAATCCTGCTAACAAGTAATGTGTGTGTCTCCTCTTCCTCTGTGCCATTGAGCTCTGTTGTTGTTAAAAACTGTTAGAAACACATCACTGAGCTGCACTGTTGCACTGGGTGACAAGTTCCTTCATTAACGTGAACACACACACTGTAGATTAATTAAATACCATCCTGCTGTCCAAATACTCACTAGAGCACAACAAATGCACTATTTACAGTTTTACGCAAATTACTGAGCCTTTAAAAAACAAAAACTTTATATTTGTGAACCATTTTTAAAGATTTACTTACTTCTTCAGTAGGGACAAATAGGCCACAGGAGCTCAGTCTCATCTCAGGGCATCAAATTGTACCGTTCAGCGTCAGCGTAAGACGCACTTGGCTTTCAAGTAACTCCAAAGCAACCCATCCACCGTCACGTACTTATTTCAACCCAAAAAACACGTTTTCCTAAACCTAACCAAGTAGTTTTGGTGCCTAAACCTAACCAAAACCATGAGTAGTTTTCCGTGCCTTAAACCGCGTATTAAAAAGGCGTTTGATACGGACGCTGATGGGTATCTTGTGCGCTTTACCAACAGCTTTCTCTAAGTGTCAGTATTTGACACCCTGAGATGAGAACATGTTGGCCACAGACAGGGTCGGGAAGTCAGACAGTAATAAGAGACGGACTAACACATTGTTTGTTTGATCTTTTCAAGGGATTTGTTGACAATAAAAATATCAGCCTTTACCTTTCTTAAGAACACCGGATGGTACAGAGCACATTTCATCAGTAATTGAGTGTGTTTTTAAGCACACTAATATCGTGGTTGTGACCAGGCGTTAGGAAACCACGGATATATTCCTTTATATGTCATTTAAGTAGCTTGACAGGGAAAATTTTCACGCCGTCTGGAGCACCAAAAATATTAACACCGGCACCATGTTTCTGATCATTCTCTGCCATGGTCCCAGGTGCGTCCTCAAATCGAGTTATGTAGTAATTAGTCGGTGAAACAAAATATATCATGATTGATGATTCAACTTGCTGACTTCAGTAATGCAGATGATACAATTATTTTTCATCCATTAGAGATCTGATAGAGAAGCTGAATCCAGCAGAGTCCTCACAGATTTGCTGGATATATAAGATTCAAACCTGTACCGACGCAGATGATCAGAAACCTGGTCAATATTATTATTAACAGAAACAGGGAGATAAATAACCAGGTTTGTCTATGTTGCATGTAAATAATATATCCTGAACATGATCAAAACCGTGGTGAGACATAAAAATGGGATTTGCACTCACTGTACGTTACCTGTCTTGAATAGAGATTTGATTTCCCCACAAACGACAACTTCAACTGATCTCAGTCTTTTCACTGCGATACCAGTAAATGTTTATTTAATGTTCTACTGGTAGGAACAGATCCCATTATAAACTGCCATTTGAGCCCACTGTAAAGTCTCCTGAGCTTTAATAGCTATTTGGGAAACTCTGGTTGGTTTGGTTATTAGGCAGTCAAAGTTTCACCGCAGTAACAGGAAGTGAAGGTATCTTTAATCTCTCCAATTCATCATCCTGAGACTGCACAGGCAGCAATATGCTTGTGCCTGGGAGCAGAGAGGAGTAGTCACATTTCTCTAATGTGGAGAAGCGGACTTACTGTAATCATTTACTCCCTCTGCTGAGCTAAATTGTCACTGCATGAGTCATGACGCTCCTCTGGCTATTAGCTGATAGCACAACTACATGGCTGCTTCTAATCTCATGTCACTTCACATGCAATCACAACAAGGCAAGGGCATGCCCGCTCTATTGATCCCTCCGTACTGACCTTATACCTCTGCAGGGTGTCAATGTCGTGGGCTGCATCCTGAGAACCTGAAAAGGCAGAAACAACTCGATGAGAGGACAGACAGGAGGGCATGCCTCTGCTTACCAAAACTTATTTTTTTTAAATGCTTCCTGAAGGCTAACATATAATAATTACTCATTTATAAAATGATCAAATGCTGCTTTTCCCCCTTCCTCACGTGAACATCTATTTAACTCCCTTGTTACTTTTAACGAGAAACTAAATGAACCACTTAATTCAGCTGTACAGTACTATCAGTGTTAGGATGCTGCTGGTCTTGCTGTAAACATTTTATTGACAATTAGAACAGCTTAAGTCATTTATCAAACAAAAATGCCCAACATTCACTAAGCCTCATCTTCTAAAACGTGAGTATTTGCTATTTTTTGGAGTTGAATCTTTGCGTTTTAGACTTGTTATACAAAACAGGTGATCTGAATGTCACCGTGGACTCTGGGAAAGGCAAATTTCTCTATTGTTTTAGAATTTATAGGCAATTAAATCACTTGAATTACAAAAGCAATCAACAGATTAACTGATAATGACAATATTCAATATTCCCACAGCCTTACAACCACTGTCTTTTAGAGAGAGCAATCAGATCTCACACAAATAAAGAGTTAAAAAGCAGAAAGCAAATGCTGCAGGATATCAGAACCTATATCACTTAGAGGGAAACATTCAGGTAGAAAACCCTTTCTGAACAGCTGCAACACCAAAGGGGAAGATATCAATCAGAAACTAACAGTAATAAAATACAGGCATCAGAAGATTTAGTAGCAGCACTGGACTAGGCTTAAAATCTGCTGAAATACACATGTAATATTATCTACAGTTGCAGAGAAGTAAGTTTATGATTTTCATGGAAAAAGTGAGCGATGGCATTTTCATGACAACAGCCTTTATACCAGTAAGAGTCTGAATGACTAACGCTGCAGAGGACGCAGGTCAAAGACTAATGGAAGAAATAAAATGAGAAAGACCAAACAACAAGCTAGCCTGAAAGGCATTGCAGGAGAATGAGCAACAATTTCTCTCAATTTGTAAAATGCAGTGGTAGTCTTAAGTAGCTGGATAATTATGTGAACGAGACATATGGGCAGGAAACAGAATATGATGGCAGAGCTTCCTCCAGATTTCCTGAGTGGAAACTTACAGCAGCAGCTCACTGCCTTCAAAGTAGCAATATCTGCACGCTTTGCAGTAGCCAAAGCCACTTTCCCATAATGCCAAATCCATGGTGTTGAGAAATAAATCTAAATCCAAAGGATAGCGTGTCTTTGGAAATAAGCCAGCTCCAGCCCATATGCCTCATCAGTGTAGACGGAAAAGATTTAAACTGACACATCTGTGAAAAGATGCATGAATGCCAGGATTTTTAGAGCATTTTTAAAGTCTGACATGGGACCAAATTCAATCTGCTCAACAAATATTTTGTAAAAAATCCTTTAAATTCTATATTTAGAAATAAAACTAAACTTTGCTCAACAAAATCCTGAAAGTCGTCCTTTGCCTTTACAATGATTTCTCTTGTATGAGACATATATGCCCTGTCCAGTGTATCTCAATATTTGGTGATTTGTAGGTTTTCATCTGGATGTGGGTTCAGACAATTCTCCTATATCTTAGGCAATAAACTGTGTACGCTAATGAATTCTTAGGTTGATTAGGTGGGTGGTGATGGAACAGTGGAAAAGAAACATGCCTTTGGTGTGAAAGACCTGGGATTGATTTCCACTGTGACCCATTCATTATTGTGTCCCTGAGCAAGACACTTAAGCCCTTGTTGCTCCAGAGGCGTGCGACCTCTGACATGTATAGCAATTGTAAGTCGCTTTGTATATTGTCAGATGAATAAATGTAAATGTAGTAACAGTAAAAATTATCACAAAGCTTAAAAGAATAGTTCAATAGTTTTCTAAATATGCTTATTTGGCAAGAGATGGGTGAGAATATTTTGATACCACTGCCATGTTTATAGGGTAAATGTGAAGCTACAGCCAGCAACAGGTTAACTTAGCTTAGCACAAAGACTGGAAACAGGGGTAAACAGCTAGCCTGGCTCTGGCCAAGAAATAGTCCAGCACATAACCGGTGTGTTGAACGTTGTAATTTTTTCCACGTCCACAATATTCTCGTCTAGCACTTAGCAAGAACACAAACAAGCATATTCCCCTAAAATGTTGAGCTATTCCTTTAAAACAAGGTTGTTCAAAACTGACATTGACATTTTGGTGACACATTTCTGCTGTAAACATGAAGGTCTGTCAAACTGGTTTATATTAATTTCAATTTCAATTCAATTTACTGATGGACAGATGCAGAGATGCAGCATCTCGTTTTCAAGAGGGTCCAAATACACATATACATAATACAACCGTCACTCCAGACCGAAGACACATCATAGCTCAGACATGTTATAGCTAGCTCAATAAGTACATCTCATTTACCTCATTACACAATTGGAACCCATAATACATAAGAGATTCGATGAGAAAAGGTATCACATAAGAAAGAAAGAGGTCGAATCCACAGGAGGTAAATCAATTAGACAATTACATGAAGCAAAAATACAATTACAAGCAATACTGTTTAGTCCAGCATCAGTAACATGCACACACATAGATATTGAATATAGAACCTAAATCTGAGAAAAGATGAGATGGATCTCAAGGAAAGAGGGAGATTGTTCCAATCGCAAGTAGCTTTATAATGAAAAGCCTTACATCCAGCAGCTGAAAAGATTCCTGGTACAGTAAAGACGAGATATTGCTGATCTCAAAGTGGATACATAGAACTACAAGGAACCAAGAGTTCTTTCACATATGGAGGACAATCGAAGTAGGCACATTTCAAAATAAATAGGAACCAATGGAAGTCTCTTCTTGAACTAAGCTGAAGCCAATTTAGTGATGCATACATTACACATTGATGAGTTTTAAAAGGACACCTCAGAACAAATCTACACAGAGATTAAAGACAACATTAAGTGGCTTAAGAACAGAGTCACTAGTGTTCATGTAGATGATATCAGCGTAGTCAGTAATTGCATTTGGGGTGTCTGTACTGTTATCCTATGAGGGGTCATGTGAATATGCATGAAAAAAACAATAAGCGTCATTGGGATTTACCAATGATGGCAGAATATTATAATATTAGAGATACTGACATCGCAGCATAGTGCTAAAGAGTGCTGAGGGTGCACAAAGTACTGTGGTGTCCGAACGATAATGCTGCGATGATGTGTTGAGAAGAAATCCGCTTGACACTGTTCTTGATTATAAAAGTTTATTACATCAAAGAATTCAGCATCAATTACAAGCTCTGCAGCAGCTTGGAGAGTGACCCAGCCCGATGGCCACTCTGTCTCTCTGTACATCGAACACAGCTTATATAGGACATGTTTAGGTCTCTGCTAAAAACCATATAAGGGCACAGTCCCTTCATACACACTAACCTCTACTCCCCCTACCACTGGGTCAGAGGTCAAATTTCATAGAAGGGTTCACTCTTTGCACACCCATCAATCATTACTTCCCCTTAAGGGTTCACTGTGCCTCTCTCCAGCTCTGAGTCAGTGGTCAAGTTCTATAGGAGGGTTCACTGTCCCCATAAGGGTTCACTGTCCCCAGCTACAGAGCATTATGTTAAACTGTAATGGTCAAATGCACATATGTTATACACCACATATTCCCCCCTACGAGACTTAATTGAGTCTCGAAAAACAAAAAGAGATAAATTTCTCCAACACATACTTCTTGCATATTATTTTTAGCAGCATATCAACTTTATGGAGTGTGAGAACGAAAAACCCGTCCGGCAGCCTTCATTCCAAATTCCCTCTAAGACAATCTAGACAGGAAAATTTTCTCACGGCCCCTCTGCCTTAGGCGGCCACGCATGGTACTCCAGTCCAATTAATAAACGACATCTTTATCAGTCAATACAGAAATACGGTTTAGCCAATACATGTGAAAACCTCAGGAAATTAAACAAATCAAAACAATGTCCGAATTCAGGCTGGTCAACCCATCGGACCCTCCAACGGACCTTTCCCTGCCTAGACCCTATATCCCTAAGCATCAAGAAAAAGAAAAAAACCTGAGGTCCCCAAATATTAACTCCCTAAGTGAAAGTACAAGTCTTTACACAGTTAACACAAAAAGAATATAATTGTTAATTAAGTATTATTCATTCGCATATATATTCATATCTATATCAAAGTAGACACAGGAAGGTATTCCACTGCAGCTCCTCAGCAGTGTCGATGCAATCCAGACGTTTCCACACCATCCTTGTCCAGAGTTCTTTCATATTGTCCTTGTTTGAGTATTTGAATCCCCATCTGTACATCCCCATATACTCTGGAAGAAAAGAAAACACCAACCAGTATCTTGTTGCAAAATAACACATGAAAATTAAAACCCCAATGTATAAAAATACAAAGTAACATTAAAATGGATATCTTTCCATCATTAATTCATCTGGTTTCCCTTCATCAATCTCCATCTAAATCAGCCGTAGTTAACAAAGGCATCTGAGTGTTCTCCCCAGGCATTATCACTCCAACCCATCTCAATATCATAGCTTTCGCAAAAGTCAATAGCACCGTACAAAAGCAAAACATCAAACACAGCGCTACAAAGGCTGCTACCAAAATCTGAACCACCTCTGCTCCCACTGGTCCTAACTGATTTTGTAGCCAAGTATTTGCTGACCATCCAGCTCCCTCAGATTGACCAAACGCATCCCTTATACTCTTTAATGCATCTATAACACTAGTGATATTATCAGAACTATCTGGGATCAAAGTATAACAACCGTCTCCCGTCAAGTTCATAGCCACACACAAACCTCCTTGTTTGGCTAAAATATAGTCAAGAGCCATGTCATGTTTCAACAATGTCAGTCTGTGACTTCTTTGAGTATTTGACAGAAGATTAAACCCTCGTATAGTTTCATTTGCAAAACCCCATTAATTTTTTCACACACCCCTCGACTTTGTGGGTGATAAACTGCCAAGACG